TTGCAGTGCCAGTAAGTCTCCAATCCTACTTGACCATTTTTCTAAGAACTTTTGATCAGATTCCATGGCTTCATGCTCCGACCAGCCCTGTCATATCGATAGGAGAGCTGATGGGGACCATATAAAAGATGAGGCTAAGAGGCTGGCCAAAAAGCACATGACTAATGAGTGTATTGCAAGACCAGCCTTGGACCAGATTTTTTAACCCCTGGTGTTCAGCATATGACTATTCTTCTGAATCTAAGAATTTGCTACCTATACTTACCTTTTTTATTTTTCTTAATTTCACTAGTAAATTAAATGCTAAGTACTCATCAGTGTCCATTACTATTCACTGAGTGTCCCTGGGCTGCATGGTCATGTTAAAACCGCAGGCATGGTCACAGCTGAACAACAGCCGCCTGCACTGGGTCTCACCTATCTTCCTTTTGTGGATGACAACAGAAAAAAGCCAGAACAAAGAGCAGGTTGGGCCAGAGCACTAGCTCTGTGTGATGCTTCCCCCTTGTGGCCAACTTGCTGCTTTGGACAGGAAGTAAAGAATTCTCAAAGGTCTTCCTTGCTTAGGAACTACCCATCTACTCAGGTAAAAAGCCTGGGCCTGGGTCTGAATGGACTCCCCCAGAGCCCTGGCCAAAGATTTCACATGAAGTCCTTACCTTGTGGATAAGTGAGGTGGAGGTTTGCCCTCAAGAAATCTGGGTGTCCAAAGATTAAAGACGACAAAATGAATCTTTGACTTCTAAATTGCAGCTGGGAACGTTATCACTGTTCATGGGCTCTCAAAGACGCTGCAGTGCCTGGCTGCCAACAAATGCTCAGGCTTGAGGATGCCAGTAGGTTGTAAGCAATAGCTGATGTCAAAGGATGGCTGGTGGGGAGGAGAGTTAGGTGGTGGTTAACCACCCCGTCATCTTATCAGAGCTGCTCTGAAGCCCTCCTTGGTGTTCTTATTCTTTCATTATATACAGTCCTTCAATTTTATATGAATTTGAATCAAAGCACTTTTAGAAATTGCTTTTGTTATTTATCTTGGCAAGCAAAGAGAGCTTTAAGAGCAGTCCCCTAGGACCCTCTGCCAGCTCCCTTGCCATCTCTAAGTCCCTCTTGTTCGTCATCCTAAGGCCATCACAGGCTACAAGCTCATAAGGACCACAGCCTCACTCATCCGTGTTGACCCAATTTAGGAGCCATGGGGATGTGAATAGGGGGCAGGTTTCACTTGGTATATAAAGCCTTGTTCGACCCAGGTTTCAACAAGAGCAGAACTAGGCTAAGGTGGCAGAGAGTCTGAGGGTAGAAAAATGGGCAGAAAAAAATGGTGGAGGGAGAGGCAGAGGAACTGGCAGCAGACAAATTCCTGGGTTGCATTTCCACAATCAGAAGCTCCGAGGAGGCAGCATTATGCTAACTATTGGGTTAAAAATATTTGAACTGAACTTGTCTCACACGGGGTTTATATTTGTTGGTCCAGTGTAAGGCTAGGATGGGGGTGCAGAGGAGAGTTAGAGTTGAGATGGCAAAAACATTCTTATTTGTGTCCTTGATAGAAAACTCACTTTCCACTCTTCTCATTTTTTCAAGACAAGGTCAGATGTCTCTTGAGCATACATTTGAAATGCCCTATCTTTTTACTTACAGCTTTGATCAAAACTCGTATGAAGTAACTTTTGGGGTAGTTATTTTACTAAGTCTTTCCCCACCATTGAACCACAAATGAAGACATGGATGTGAACAAATGTTTTAAGTTAATGGTAAATGAATGAAGGATTGAGTATATGAATATGCGCTGAGCTCTGTGCCAGGCAGAGAGGATACAGAAAGAAAAAAGACAGAAGGGGGCTTCCTTCAAGGACTTACAAATGAACAAATAATTTCAAGGCTGATGAACACTTCAAAGGACAAATACAGTGAGCTATGGGCACCGACAGGAATCTGGCATGGTTTGTATGGGATGCATGGAACTGATACCTCAAAGAATGCATGAAGAGTCACTCAATGAAGAGATGGGATCCAAGGAAAGAGCATTCCTGGCAGCAAGAACTGCATGTGCCAAGGCCTGAAATGAAAAAGAACTTAGTGCATTAGCGAGACCACTGTGGCTGGGCCAGAGTGAAAGGGAGAGCAATCACTTGGGGCCTTTTAGTCCTTGTTATGGAGCTGGACTTTTCTCTAAGGGCAGTAAGAAGCCATTGGTTAACAGTGGTTCTCAACCTTCCTAATGCTGCAACCCTTTAATACAGTTCCTCATGTTGTGGTGACCCCCAATTTCATTGTTACAACTTGAACATAATTAAAGCATAGTGATTAATCACAAAAACAACATGTAATTATATATGTGTTTTCCGATGGTCTTAGGCGACCCCTGTGAAAGGGTCGTTCGACCCCCAAAGGGGTCTCAACCCACAGGTTGAGAACCGCTGGATTAGTAGAAAGCTATGGAGTGCCCTAATCTGATTTCTATTTTTTAAAATAATAATTTCTCTGGCTGCTGTGTGAAGCATATGTTGGAAGGAGGTAAAAATGGAGAAAGCTGTCTAGGTGAGAGGTGATACAAAGAGCCAGGAGAAGGAGTCAGGGATGATACCCAGGTCTGGGGCTTAAGCAGCTGGAGCGTGGACACTAAAAGGGGAGCAGGTCTCTGAGTTCACTGGGGGGGAGGAGGGCTCTTGAATTTGACGCCCTATGTATCCTCCACGAGGAGCTATCAACTCAGTAACTGGCTCTGTGAGTCTGGAACCCAGGAGAGAGGACAGCACTGGCCATAGAGAGCATATAGTTGGTAAATGAAGCCAAATGCATTCAAGATAAGAGAGGCAGAGGGACTCCACCTTGCAGCCACAGAGTAGATGGGCATTCGGGGACCGTAAGAAGGCAATGCAGCAACTCTCTGTGTGGCAGCTCCTCTTGCGTTTTGTTTTTTAATCTCTGTATTCTCCTGGACATCGGACAATTGAATTCTCATATATGGTAGAAGCATCCTCTCTTCTGCCTTAACGACAGACTCCTATATTGTTAAGAGTCTCAGCGTGTCCAGCTAAAAAAAACTCTATTTCCCAGCATTCTTTGTAGATAGGAATGCTAATAGGATACAAATGGAAGTTGTTGACTGAGACATCTAAAAAAAAAAAACAGCCCTCCTAAAGGGGCTGACTCGGCAAGGCATCATGTACCTTTTCTTTTCCTTTCTTTTCTTTTCTTTTCTTTTCTTTTCTCTTCTCTTCTCTTCTCTTCTCTTCTCTTCTCTTCTCTTCTCTCCTCTCCTTTCCTTTCCTTTCCTTTTCTTTTCTATTTCAAAAGACAACTTTATCCAGATAGGAACCTCTCTAACAACACAAGAAAAATTAGGCAGCAATTATTAAAATACACTCTTAGCCAGATGACATCAGAATGACATCAACAGGGAGCACACGGGCACAGGGCCTCCGCCAGCCACCCCCCTCTTCCCAAATCCACCCACGCCCAGGTCCTCCCCGTCATCCATGACCCAACTGTCTTACGTGGGGTCACAGCCACCTCAAGCGCCATGAATAGGATGGGCCTGCGCCCCAAGGCGGGGTTCAGCAGGAGGAGTCACATGGGCAGGCAGCTACCATAGGGAGGCCAACAGTGCCCAGTGAAAAGGACAGCCGGCAGGTGAACCTGTTGGGGCAGGTACTGAGAAGCTAGACGGATCCCATTCTCTGGCCCAAGTGAGATTTGGGGCTGCTGGCACTTTCTGCTGGGTGAGTGAGACCTTCGGGCTAGGGCTGGGCAAGAACCAGCACGCTCAAGGAAGGACCCCCAGGTGAGACCACACTGGTTGACACCACCTCAGCAAAGGCACCTTGTCTGCAGATGGCACGCAGAGCAAGGAGGCAGTGTGGACAGGGCAGCACGACCCAGGACCGGGCAGGCCGAGGGGCCAGGACCTACTGGGCCATCGCCTGGGCTGCTGTGCAGGCCGCTGCTGAGGGTCAGGAGGGTTGGGAAGGCTAAGGTTCAGGAGGGATGGGGGGACTGAGGGTCAGGATGGATGGGGGGCTGCCACACTCAGAAAAGTGGGGTGCTGGTCCTTGGTTGGCTGGCACCTGCTCTTGATGCCCAATAACAGTGGCCACAGGAAGACCACTTGCTGAGACACACAGGCCCAGGTGGTTGCCAAAACAGTTTTGCTGCCAGAGGCACCTGCCTGGGATTCAGGTTCAAGGCCAAACTGCAGGTCAGGCAGGGGCTGTCTCCTCATGGCTCTGCTTGCCCCCTACCCTAGTGACCCTGGGCAGCTTTCCCAGGAGAATCCAGGGTGCGCTCTGCCACCCCTAGCCCTGTGGATTGAGAACCCCCTCACGGAAGCATTAACACAGTCAATGTACAAGTAAAACCCAAAGGCTGCTGAGGGCCAACACAGAGCTGGCTCTAACCTGGGGTGTCTCAGGTTAGACAAGAGCCCATTGCCATCTGCAGGAGTCATGGAGTGTTTACCATTTCATTCAGCCCCAAAATACCTCTGAGGGCCTCAAATTATCTTTTCAAAAATGACCAGAAACATGAATTTGAACATTCCCCACCCCAGGTCCCTTCTGCTGCTTCGGTGCTTCCAGGAGCTCCAGTGAACAGTGACCGTGCTCTGGTCTTGCCATGGCCCAGGTGTCTCTGGAAGCCACGGTTCTGATGGAATGACTGGGACTGCAGCCAGGGGGCCTCTGCAGACTATGGTCACATGACTGCACAGCACGAATTTTGCTTCCAGGCTGTTTTGTAGAAGGCTTTAGAGCAGTGGTTCTCAACACTCTGGCCCTTTAAATACAGTTCCTCATGTTGTGACCCAACCATAAAATTATTTTCATTGCTACTTCACAACTGTAATGTTGCTACTGTTATGAATCGTAATGTAAATATCTGATATGCAGGATGGTCTTAGGTTACCCCTGTGAAAGGGTCGTTCGACCACCAAAGGGGTCGCGACCCACAGGTTGAGAGTGAATTCCCAGCACTTCGGATTTGGACACCAAGTCATATATCTACTTGCCTCCTCCTAACAGGGACTCCATGGGGTTGTGCAGAACAATCTTGGTCTCATCAAGTTCTGCCTGCACTTTACTCACGGGGTCAGCTTCTCGGGGATTCTGGTAGGTACTAAGGAAGTCATCCAGGGCTGTGTAGTGGATGGTAGCAGGGGATCCGACTGGCCAGTTGATCCTGTCCACCTGCTTGGAGGAATGGTCCAGCACCTTCTCCAGCAAGGTGAAAGCCACCCGGGATGGGTTCTCGCTGTCAGCAATGACCACTCCTGCAAGACTGTCGTTCTGCACGTAAACGTGGCACAGATATTCTTGTTCCTTGATGGAAGTTCTGCTGCCTTTGGCAGAGAGCTCCACAATCAGCTGGCTGGTGAAGGTCATGAATTCCTGAACACTGGTCCTCTGGAAGAAGCTGAGGGACGACACGTCGTAGGCAGCCCTGAGCAGCACCGCCTTGGGGTCACCTTTGTAGAGTATGCTCAGGCTGAACAGCTTCATGGCACCACCCGGGCCGCCCACCTGCCCGCCTGCAGACCAGCGAGCAGTGCGGCCGCTGCCCCTCAAGACCTCCGGCTGCTGATGGTCCAACACCGCCTGCTTTTCTATCGTTTTTCATTTTCTCCTTGGAACTTGGGCCTGACAGCTTGGGCTCCAGAGGCCATCTTAGACCACGAGGTAATCTTGAACATAGAAACAAGATAGTTTCTGGGTCTCTGTTGATTGTGGAGCTACTGCCCAGGTAACTTGTTGGCTTCTTTAAAGTGAAATAAAAATGAACCTCAATATTGTGTAAGCTACTGGTATTTGGATTTTGTGGTTTATGCTGTCAAACTTAATCTAACTGATAGATCATTTGTGTGATAATCAGACATGACAGTGAATCCATAAAAGAGACTGTAGGGGTGCACAGAATGAAGAAAGCAAGTTAGGCTGATGCATAAAGGAGCAAAATATTCTTTCATATCAGGGAAAATGTCCTTGTTTCTTGCAATGGCTTGAACTAGCAGTGCAACAGCCAAAGTACATCATCTCGAGTGCCTCCCCTTGGGAATCTATTAGCAATTGAGCATCTTTGAATCACAAGGGAACGTTAATCTCATGTACAAAAATAGTGCTCATTGTGATTAAGATCTAACAACTGTAATTGAATAATTACAAAGTTTAAAATAGTTCAGGCAATTAAGAAAGCACAAGTGTCTCAGCTACATGAGGTGCACAAAGTTCCCAGAAAAATAATTAAATCCTATGTAATAAAAGCCTAATATGCTAACTGACCCGTCATCTGGTTGTCCGTTCAACTAATCCAGTGGTTGGCAAACCGCAGCTCGCAAGCCACATGCGGCTCTTTGGCCCCTTGAGTGTGGCTCTTCCACAAAATACCGGCTCTTCCACAAAATACCAACTTCTGCGCATGGGCCACAAAGTTTCAATCGCACTGTTTGTGCGCACCCGCACGTGGTATTTTGTGGAAGAGCCACACTCAAGGGGCCAAAGAGCCGCATGTGGCTCATGAGCAGCGGTTTGCCAGCCATGGAACTAATCAAAGCGTAATATGCTAATGATATGCTAAGGGTGCTCAATCACTCGCTATAGTGTGCACTGACCACTAGGGGGCAGACAGTCAACCAGTTGACCAGTTGCTATGACGTGCACTGACCACCAGGAGGCAGACACTCAGACCGGTAGGTTAGCTTGCTGCTGGGGTCCAGCCAATCAGGACTGAGATGGGCTGGACACACCCTGGAGCCCTCTTCCTGTTCCTTCCTAGCTGGCTAACCTCCCGCATCCCTCCCCAGCCCCGATCATGCACCGGTGGGGTCCCTTGGCCTGACCTGCTCCCTCTCGCAATCTGGGACCCCCAGGGGATGTCAGAGAGGTGGTTTCAGCCCGATCCCACAGACCAGGCCGAGGGACCCCAATGGTGCACAAATTCATGCACTGGGCCTCATATATATATAATGTTATTCTCAGCTGCCACTAATTCTAGAATTCTGTCTTCAGGTTGCCCAACCAAGGGCATAAATGAGGGCTGAGACCTAGCCCGAGTTTAGCTCCCAGACACTACCCCAAATCAGGCCAGGTCAGCTTGGAAGCAGTGGCATGTTTTACAATTTGTTCACCTACAAGAGGCATCCTTTAGCACTTGACACAGAGATGCTTGATCTGCTAGCTGGTTCCCTGGTGGGGCCCACCTTATTCCTTTCTTTTGAAAACCATATTTATTTAGATTGCGTTCAAGAAGTTGAGGAATAAGAAAGCATATTCGGAGTCCCTCCAAAGAGCAGAGGAGACAGATGAAGCACTTTGAGGGATTGGTATACAGAAAATTACCACAAGCCGACAAATGTGGGTAACCCACAGCAGAGCCATAGCCACTAAGTAAATACAACCCCAAATGGAAGAAAACGCCTTACTTCCTACCAAAACTAAGAAAATGATGTGATCAAAAGGAGAAATGTTAAGTTTCTTTAGTCACTAAAGTTTAGTGCTTCTGTTGCTCTCTAGCAACCCCTTGTGGTACTTGAAACAACCTGCAGTCTGGTGCTGCTATTCCAGGCCCGCTCTTGGTTGCAACAGATTTGAACTAGAAGAAACTGAAACCTTGAATCTATTCGGAACCCTGCGCTAAGCACAAAGATCTTAGAGACCTTGCAAACAATGTTTACCAAAATAAATATAGCAATGAGTTCATTTCCTGCACACCAGTGAGACTCAATTCTTTAAGACAACCAATTTGGTTAAAATATGTATATCTCTCTCTCTCCATTCATCCATCCTTTAATAAGATTCTGCTATGTTCCAACCCTATGAGTGTGGCTCAGGTAAATAGATGGACATAGTATCATAGTTTTGTAGGACAGACAACTAGGAGACAGGCAAGGGTTGAGTCATGAAAGATCTTTATATTCTGTTGAAAACTTTGAAGGAGATAGGGAGGCATGTGACATGTAAGCACGGAAGTGGTGTAATCAGATCTGTCATTTACAAAAAGTGATTCTGGAAACAGGGTGAAGGTGGGTTGGGTGTGGGCATATGGCAGAACGATGGATTAGGAGACTGAGAATTCAAGTTCAGACAGGCTGACCCAAGGCAAGTAGCAGAAAAGAAAGAGTGCAAACTGAAGAGAAATTTGGGAGTAGATTTGAAAGACATAGCACATGGGTCACGTTTCTGCCTAAAGCAGCCAAGTGGCTGGTAGTGTTACTAACTGGCGTGGCAAACATAGAAGGCTTGGAGTAAGGTGAGGGGTGTGGGGACTGGAAGAGGGAGGATTTGATTAGAAATTTAAATGGTTTTGTGGAAAGAGCTTTTCATCTGGAGTCAGGCTCCTGCACTGATGCCACTTTGTTCTAACTGAATTTTATTAGTCTATATTCGTCTACTTGTATTCATTAATCACAGGGTCCAACTAATGCCCAAAGTTGTCTGCATCTTCCCTGCAATCAGCTTTTTCGGGTGTTCCAAAATCATATTACAAACTCCCCATGTGACCCTGAATGCCATGGTGTGCCCGCCTCTTCTCAGGAAATGTAAGTAACAAAAATCTTTCATTGGAGTTAACCTCCTCATGTTGTCACTCAGTCACCTTTATAAATTTAGAGCACCAGTCATACCTCCTCCTTATAATTCTGAACATGTTACTGCTTTATGTTGCTCATCTAAAGTATAAGAATAATAATAAGAAAAAAAATAATGAGTTACTTCATGTGATTGTATGAGGCTTTGTACATTATAAGCATGTTTGTTATTATCATTAGCCCTGAAGAATCTAATCTGCCAACAAAATCAACTTCTAATTTTTTTCTGACAATATGGTCAATGAATCATATATATTGAGCATCATCCCTGTTCATAGTGCAAGTAAATACATATGATCTGACCAAAGCAAGAGATAGAGAGCTACAAGGAGCTGGGTTGGTTGGTCTTACCTAATGCAATATCATATTTTAAAAATTCTGCATTTGAAAAAGAAAAATCAGCAAAAAGGACTCTCCTACAGTATTTAAAAACAACCTGGATTTATGATCATTCTAGCCAGAGCTTTTCAGGAGTTCAACTAAACAAAACTTGATCATTAAGTTTTTTTTGTGGTTTTATTTGTGTGTTTTTGTGTTTTTGTTAGTCCTCATCCGAGGATATTTCCCCATGATTTTTAGAGAGAGTGGAAGGGAGGGAGTGAGACAGAGAAACATTGATTGGTTGCCTCATGCAAGCATCCTGACCAGGGCTGGGGATCAAGCCACAATCAGTACATGCCCTTGAACGGAATCGAGTCTGAGACCTTTCGGTCCATGGGCTGATGCTCTATCCACTGAGCCAAACTGGCTAGGGCTTGACCATTAAGTTAAGTCCAGTTGCTAGTTTATAAAAATTTCCCACCAGATTCTTGCTTATTGTTCTAAACACAATGATTTGGCAATAAAAATGGAATAAAGGAAAAGAAGACAATCTGGAGTGGGAGGGGATAGAAGACAAATGGATTTTTCCAGCAGCAAAATGGCATTATTGTTATTCCAAGAAATAACAGTTTCCACAGAGAGCCCTCCATAGATTCAAGATGCTCACAAGAAAAGGCCTGTCCAAAGCCAGTCAGAGTGTCAGAACCAAGATGGTGACTCTGTGAAAAGGAACTCGTGTGGAAAGATCCTAGATTTCCTGGAGCATTTAATGCTAACTTCACTTGGTTCAGAGTAAGAGCAGGTGACAGCAGGACCACGATCAGGGTGAGGCAAGTGAGGTGCCTAGGGTATAAAATTTAAGGTGACATTCAGGATTCTCAACTCTATGCATATTCCCTGGTCCCCACCCTACAGTACAGCTACAGGGATAAAGAATGGGTAGTTACCGAGTGGTCACAAAGATGTAAACTACAGCACAGGGAATACAGTCAGTAATATCGTCATAACGATGTATGGGGCCAGGTGGGTACTTGAAATACTCTGTAAAAGCACATGATTGTCTAACCAGGGGTGGGCAAACTTTTTGACTCGAGGGCCACAATGGGTTCTTAAACTGGACCGGAGGGCCGGAACAAAAGCATGGATGGAGTGTTTGTGTGAACTAATATAAATTCAAAGTAAACAGCATTACATAAAAGGGTACGGTCTTTTTTTTTTTTTTAGTTTTATTCATTTCAAACTGGCCGAATCCGGCCCGCAGGCCGTAGTTTGCCCACGGCTGGGACTCTAACCTCTATGCTGTACACCTCAAACTAATACAGAATAATATTGAACGTAAACTGTAAAAAATAAATACAAATTTAAAATAAAACGTCATGGCAATGATTTAAAAATGAAAAAAAAGCATTTCCATTCTAGCATCATTAACATAGAGAAGCGCTGTCAAGTGGCTCGCCCTCAGCTGCAGCATAATCATAATGCAGACTATTGTGAGCTGTTCTCCACGCTGAAGCATGCCTCTATGGATGGACTGGGTTCTTTGCCAAGTAGCCTCCATCAAAACCTAACCAGAGCTCTGAATTTGAAGAGGAATTGAGA